CAGCCAGAGGAGTGTTCTCTTGGGCTGTAGAGGGCTGTACACCTCTGACGGCCGAGAGTGATTTCTCTTCGGATGTTGAGGCTGGTACATTCTTGACAGCCAGGAGTGTTTCTCTCCGCTGTTGAGGCTGTACACTCTCAACGGCCAAGAGTGTTTCTCTCGGCTGTTGAGACACCAGGGGAAATTCCAGGGCACTGGTTGACCAGTGACTGCAGGTCACATCTGAGTCACTTTGAATGTCTGGCAAGAAATTGTAAAATTTGCCAAAATGGTTATGATGAAAAATTGTGATTAACTAGAAATACACTGAGGTAGATCATGTATCTATTATTAATGTCACAATTTAAGATTATGAAATTATTCTGCATTTCTCTGATCATGACACATGTATTTGACCAAGTTTTCCAACTATCTTTGTGGTGAAACTAAAAAAAAAGAGTTTCAGTTCACAAAATTTAACTGCATGAGCATTTTTTTTACAGGAAAATTCTACATTTACCTTTTTAAATTGGAGTGGAGGACTTATTTCTAATCTGAAGCACCCACAGAATCAGATTTAGAGCTTCCTTAGATCAGATCCATCTGGAAATATTCAGAAACATTCTGCTTTTAAATCAACATCTGTAAGGGCTGCAGATTTGTGAGGGATTCCTTCAGTCAAGGACTCTTGTTGAATTTGAAATGAATTTCAGAGTAATACAATATCTTCCAGTGATAACGGAAATTTTTATTTTCAGTTTCAAATTCATGTCACAATCCAATCTTTCACTAATGGTATAGAATAGTTTTAAAATGATAATCAAATTCAATACAACTAGAGCTCAATAGTTTCTCTGCTTTTTTGAAAAATTTGATAACAAAACTGTAATGGTGATGTCTTGTGTTTGACACATGACCCGGTATATCAATCTGATCAATGCAAAAACATATAACAGCATCTTGAGCAATTTTGTTTTGCTGTAATGGTAGACTAATCTTTGATTATGCTGTAGTATCTTCCCTCGGTCACCTGAAAAAAAAATTAATCAACATTGGGCGAGTGTTATTTGAAATTGGGGTTACTTACTTGAACAATTAAAATACCCAAAAATCCATCAATTCTTTCAAGTATTCCATAAACATTTACCCGGTCTCCTTCTCTGAGTTTGGTTCCCACTGGAGTTTTGATGTAATTGTTGTCCAAGAGGTATTTTGACTTCAGTATTTCACTGTGAGCCTGCATCTTAATCACAGTTCATTAAAGCCATGAAAATGGCACCTGAAAAGACAAAGGTTCCCCCTCAAAGTGGATCTGCTCAAACCTATGCAATAGCATTGGCCCAAGGGTCACCAGAAACGCAACCCCTGCACTTTTGGCTACATTAGTGGGGATGGTTTCAATTTGAGGCAACCTTTGACATCAACCTGAGCTTATTTATGTCCTAGCCACCCCTCTCTAATCAGGGTCCTTCCCCCTCAAGTGACTGCAACCAATCTCACCATCTTCTCATTTACCGTGTCTCATCACCCAGGCCCCACCACGGTTGCATAACTAAATTTGACCCTGATACAGATCCACATTCCAAAAATATTGCCCCTCACAACCATGCCTGTCTCCACCGCCGTGCTTGGCCTCATGGGGTGAGTGTAACTGTTACCCCCTGAGGAATCCGACAGTCCCCAAGGCAGGTACAACAAGCCACCCCAGCCACCCCCGCACCCATACCAACATCACTACCTCCATGGCAGTCCCCCTTGATCACGAACAACCCACCAGCCACGCACCCCTTAAAAAGGCTGCCCTCCTCGGCAAACCTTCACTTCCATACCACAATCCCACGTGCCACCCCCCACTCCCTACCCAAACCCACAATCCAATTGAACCCCCCCCCACACAACAGCCCTTCCCCCCCCCCCCCCCCCCAAAGCTCAACCTGTCCCGTGCCCCCCCAGAGGTTGGAGAGCGCGTTAAAGCGCGAGCCAAGGAGGGGCTGATGTGCGACGGACTCCCCTACAATCATCCGGGCCTTTTTTTGGGCACCCCGTGGCTCTCAGGATGAGTTCCGGGCTAACGCACGCCGACAATGGCTCATTTTAGCCCCCTAC